AAAAAAAAAAAAAAAAAGAATGTCCTGTCCTTTGCTCTCTGCCAACCTCTGTACTTCATGTCCTGTAAAGATCCTGTCCTCACCACCCATGCTCCCCTTTTCTAAAGCCTGGAATGATCTCTGCTCTAAGACTTCTGCCATTTAATTGGTGTGGCGCTGGTTTCCAACTGACTAGTAAGGTAAGTTTAGCCCAGCTGGGGGCTTGAATGTGGGGAGCCCTAAACAGAGAAGAGAATAAATAAGCATTAAGGGAGGGGATAATCCTAGGGTGAGCTCCCCTCACCCCTCTTGCCTGCCTAATCACCTAAAGCCTCACTGGCCTCTTGGAATAGTGGCTGAACTTGCTTCTTTGATTAATTCTGGGCAAAGTATTGAGATCATGAGCTGTAAATCCTGCTTCAGAGTGTGCCCTGTAAAAATTGTCTCATATCCTAAATCTGATGACTGGGCTTTCACATGTGTGTGTGAAGTGTGCCTCCCTCGGTCTTGTTACCACATCAGCACAGTAAATAAATTGCCTTAAAAAAACGTGGGCCACCAATCATTTACTTGATAAATACTTGTTATGTGACTCTCTTTCCCCAAAGGGATAGCATACCCTCATTGTAATGCCCTTTATGGCTGAAAAACCTAATTGGTATATACGTTAGAATGGGAATGGACAAGGACTGGAAGCTACTAATACAGTTGACTATTTCGAGAGATCTACGGTATTTATTGTTTTCCTTGTTGCTCAAAGCCACGGTCTGTGTTTTATTTCTTCTTTACCCGCTGCCGGAGTAATTTCCAACCTTGGATTCCTGAGCTTGAAGGGACTGCCTACTATCACATTTATCAATTATTAATATTTCCAAAAGCCAAATGAAGCAGAGGCAAATTAAAACCCAATTTCTTGGCTTTTTGCCTAGAATGACAGCCTCTCAGTTCTGAAGCCCCGCTATGTCATGCTGATCTGATGCTCTGACTGGTAGCTATATTGGTTTGTTTTTTAAGAATAAAAAATGGGGAAAAGAATTCCTAGCCAACATTATTTGCTTGACAAAACTCTTTGATACCATCCCAGTATTGGAGGGGTGTATTAAACCAATCTCTATGGCTTAGGAAAACCTAAAACTGGGTAAATTATAAAGAAAAGGAATTTATTTCTTATAGTTGTGGAGGCTGAGGCGTCCACGGTCAAGGAGCACGTCTGGTGAGAGGCCTCTTGCTGGCAGGGTGGCGCAGCATGTCACGTGGAGAGGAGGCAGAGTGTGCTCATCTTTTTAATTTTTTTTGAGACAGTCTCATTCTGGTGCCCTGCATAGACTGCCATGGCATCATCATAGCTCACAGGAACCTCAAATTCTTGGGCTCAAGCGATAAGCAATTCTCTTGCTTCAGCCTCCCAAGTAGCTGGGACTACAGGTGTCTGCTGCCACACCTGGCTAGTTTTTCTATTTTTGGTAGAGATAGAGTCTCGCTCAGGTCTTAAACTCCTGAGCTCAACCAATCCTCCTGCCTTGGCCTTCCAGAGCGCTAGGACTGTAGGCATGAGCCACTCAGCCTGGCCTCTTCCTCTTCTTACAAAGTCACCAGTTCCCCTTCTATGATAACCCATTCATTCATAAATCTATGAGTGGATTCATTCATTCATGAGGACAGAGCTTTCACAATCCAGTCATCTCGTAAAGGCTATGCCTCTCAATACTCACTGGGGACTAAGTGTCAACATGCGTTTTAGCAGGGGTGTTAGAGGAATAGTAACAGGTGGCTCAGAGTTAGCTCAGAGCTGCTCACATGCTAGACAATCAGTGCTTGTTAAAATGAAAACAAGGTGGATTTTGGCATGAAGATGGACTAGAGAGTGCTTCCCCGCTATGGCTATAGAAGGTTCTGGAAGAACTAAGCATAACCTTCTCAACCTTAGATGAAGGCCATCTTGGGAGACAACATTCTTTTTTTTGAGACAGCCTCAAGCTGTCACCCTGAGTAGAGTGCTGTGGCATCACAGCTCACAGCAACCTCCTACTCCTGGGCTCAAGAGAGTCTCCTGCCTCAGCCTCCCAAGTAGCTGGGACCACAGGCGCCCGCCACAACGCCCGGCTATTTTTTGGTTGCAGCCGTCATTTGTTGTTTTGGCGCACCCGGGCTGGATTCGAACCCGCCACCTTAGGTGTATGTGGCTGGCGCCTTAGCCACTTGAGCCACAGGCGTTGAGCCAGGAGACAACATTCTAAAGTCCCACTTCTATGTGGCTCCCTGAGGGCTGCTTCAACTAGGTGGCAGAGCCCTGTGTAAATCTCCACTTTTTTGTATTTTTCTGGTTCTAGAGGGAGGGGAAAAAGGAGCCTCAGGCTTAAACACTTGGCCCTGAACTTGTAGTTCTCTGGTAGCATAGTCGCCGCATTTGGGATGGCCAGAGAAGTGGGGACCTCCTGTGGGTGGGGCGGGTCTACAAGTCTGTAAGCATCTGAGGGCTCAGATGTCCTGTCTGAACCAAAGCACCACCAACCATCTGTCTGTGAAACTGGTAGGGAGGAGACATGAACCCACCATGGTGACAGACAGGCCCCGGGGGCTCTGAAGAGGACCCAGTGCATGGAGGACGGGACTGTCCTCAGGCCTTTGGTGCTCATCGCATGTGACAACTTCATTCCACAGCTGGCCTGTTGAAGAGCTAATGAGGTGAAGACAATTCTTGGGAAATGATTGATTAAAACAAATTGTGGAAATTTGCAAGGGAAACTGGCTTTCAAAAGAGCTGGGTGTTTTAAACATCCAGGTGGCTTTGGATATACGCCTGGAGAGTCTATTTTGTGGATCAAGAGTCTTGTGCTGAGAATTAGGAGTCCCAGTTTCTTGATTGGGTTTTGCTCAGAGTTACTGCTTAAGCTCAATGGGCCTTATTTTCTGCATTCAACCTTTTATTATACCTTATTAAGATATATTGAAATTATAAAAGGAACATATTAGAGAAAGGGTGGGAAACCTACACTCTCATCATCAAAGGCCCTGGCTACTTTAATTGGTATAAATTTCCTACCAGTCTTCTGTTACTTGCATATTTTTTTTTAATCACTGCAACAATTAATGGCTTATATTTTTGTATATTGTTTTTCTTCAAACAATCTGATATCACAAATATTTCCTATAGTGCGAAGGTGTTTATCACTTGGCTGTGTAAAAGTCCATCGCATTGATGCTCTGTAATTTTTTTTTTTTTTTGAGACAGAGCCTCAAGCTGTCCCCCTGGGTAGAGTGCTGTGGCATTACAGCTCACAGCAGCTCCAGCTCCAACTCCTGGGCTCAAGCGAGTCTCCTGCCTCC